GTCTCAGAGGCACACACTGCAAATATCTTGAATCATAGCTGTTTGTTGAATAGGTTGCTAATATTCAGAGAATACAGGTTGCCCCAGGAAGACTTGAGATGAGAGGGAAAAAGAATTGTCCTATGTGCCCTTAGCCTGGGAAGCTCCCCTGTGGAGATGCACCCCAGCAAGTGTTCCCATGGATGCTCCAGCCACAGCTACTGAAGAGCCAGAAAAGAAAGCTCTTGTCACCCAAGTCCTTGACCCTGTCAAATGGTTCAACATCAGAGTCTGCTAGGATTTTATTAGTGGCAATGGCACGAAAGAAGAGTGATTGTCATCTGTTTTGCTACTGCCCCCTATTTTGTATCTTACAGACTTTTGCAGTGGACTTGCTGCTCAAACCTCCTGTATATTTGGTCTCCCTCATTAAAACATGAGCTCCTTGAGAGTAGGGACTGTCTCCCATCTCTATTTACCAGTGCTTTGTATTTAGTATTTAATAAATGTTTTGTTCATTCATTCATGTTGTTCAAAACCCTCATTGAACAGAATTATAATAATGAGTAAGCAGAATGGTATGGTGGGAGACAGTGACAGATACAGAATGGAAGAGCCTGGGTTGGAGTTTTGGCTGACATTTGTGACTTTTGGAGAGTCCTGACCTCTCTAGGCCTCAGTTTCCTCATCTCTGGAATGCAGTTGATTGGACTTAATGATTGGACTCTAATGTCCCTTCCAGCTCTTGGTCTTATGGTCCAGAATAGTCTGTCATACGCATAGCGTGCATAGAGCTGCCCCTTTTATGGCAACAGTAATACACTGAATTCAATTCAGCAAATTTATTGAACACCTACTCTATGTAGCTTTTGTACTCTAAGCTAGAGATAAAAAAATGTGGTGGAGTTCTTTCCCTCAAGGAGTTTACAGTCAACTGGGGGGAGGGGGAAGAAACATGTACAAATATAGTGCCAAAAGAACACACAAGACGAAATTCCTTAGGAAAAATTAAGGAGGAAGAGATCATTTTTAGCTGAATATTAGGTGTGGGTGGTGGATGAGGAAAGGCTTCATGGACAAGGTGGCATCAAAGCTGGGCCTTCAAGCAGAAGGACCCCAACCCAAAGAGAGGTGGAGACATTGCCTTATAGGCACAGGAGACCATCTGCAGGGAGTCACAAGAGGCAACATCAGGCAGTAATATGGAGTGGGAAGTATATATTTTAAAAAGGAATATGCAATAAGGCTAGGAAGGTGATTGAAGCAGGCTGAACAGTTTTTATTTTATCCTAGAGGCAACAGTGAGTTCCTCAAAGTGCCACAATTACTGGGAAGATGAGTCTGATTAAACTCTGGGTGTTGGTCTGGAAAGGGAAGGGACTATAGGACAGGGAGAAAGGGTAAGAGGCTATTAGAATAGTCCATGTGAGACATGATGAGCAACTGGGCTAGAGCAGGGACAGTGGGATTGAAGTAGAAGCAATAGATGCAAGACATTTGACAACTGATTGGTTGGGAAGGATGTGGGTGGAGAAACAAGACTCAGAGATGCCTGAAATTTTTCAGTTTGGGTCTACCTGTTATATGATAAGTAAAATTTACCTTAAAATCAAGAAGTTCAGCCACACACCATTTGACTCATCATCCCTTTAAATCATTGTTCCCAATGGCATTAACGGTCCTCAATACTTCGGCCTTTTGACTTTAGGCTTTGGATAGGACATGCCTTACTAGGCTGAGTTAAAACAGCAGACATGCCATTTGCTTTGTACAGTGTTTGAAATAAAAAGTATTATTGGCTGTGGTTTCTACTTCACCCAATAGTCTGCTTTCCCATATGAATCAGCCTTTTGAGCAAAAGAGTAGATGAAGCATTAAGACAGTGTGTGAAGTAAAAAAGAAAAGGTAGTTGACAGCCAGACTGTCCAAGTCCTCAAATGCTAGGATAAGGAGTTTCTATTTTACTCTTTGGACAACAGGTAAAAACTGGAGCTCTTAGAGTGTAACGAAATGAGGGGTTACGTGGTCAGGCATCTGGATTTTTCTGGCAGCTGTGTGTAAAGGCCCTAAGAGAATAGGGCCTGGAATGTGCACTATGTTTTTACCTGCTTACAGAATCCAGACCCGTTGTGGATCTAAAGTCATTTTTAGCCACATTTCCCAAGAAGTGAATCATCTGATTTGATTATCAGGGTTTTATTCCACTTACATGAATAACCATGGAAAAGAACTCAAGCCAGTGATGTGAAAGTGTGGGCTAATACAAGTAGGTAAATTGGAACTGATTGAATGAGCAGGCACAAAGAATATCAGTGACTCCAATGGAAACAAAATTAAGATCTTTGTTTTAGAGCTGGAAGGACTCTCCATTTAGCCCAACTTAGTCATGAGTAAACTGAGATCCAGGGAGGTTTATTTTTATTTATTTATTTGAAAGCAATTGGGGCTAAGTGACTTGCTCAGGGTCACACAGCTAATAAGTGTTTGAGGCCAGATTTGAACTGAGGCCCTCCTGACTCCAGGGCCCATGCTTTCCACTGAGCCACCTACCTGCCCCCAGGGAGGTTTAAATGGATTTCCCCAAAATCACCCAGGTAGTAAATACTGGAGGTCAAATTCAAACCAAGATCTCTTGACTCCAGAAACAGTGCACTCATTGTTGGCTATATCATACTATCATGCTAATGTCAACCCAGAGGGAGATCTTTCCTGGAGTGTTCCTGGATGGCTGTCTTTGGCCCAGTCCCACTCAACATTTTAATCAATGACTGGGACAAAAGCAGATGGCCTGCTTATCAAATGACACAGACTAGGAAGGACAGCTAACAAACTGGATTACACACAATATCTCCCCCATCACTACAAATATATATGTGGGTGTATATGTACACATATATACACATATTATATATATATATATATATATATATACACATGCACATATTTCAGGCTAGAAGAATGAGCTGAATCTAATAAAATGAAATTTAATAAGGATGAATATGATGGGTCCAAAAACTGAACTGTCCAAGTACAGGGTGGGGGAGGTGGGGCTAGACAACAGTTGGCATGGCATTTTGAGGGGCTACAAGCTCCGTGTGTCAACTGTGTAAGCCAGAACCAACAATGCTAAGGCTGCCTCCATTTGCATGAATAGAGCCAGCCAGGAGGAAGGGGATGTTTTCATTGTCCTCTACCCTCATTAGATAGATGGAGCATGGGGGTTTGTTTCAGGACACCATGTTTTAGGAAGAATTTTGACAAGCTGAACTGTGTGTGTCCAGAGGAGTGCTACAGGATAAAGAGGGGATTAGAAAATATCTTTGGGCATAAATGGAAGGAATTGGGGATTATTTAGCCTTGAAAAGAGAAGGTGGACTTGGGGGGACAAGGTGGTTGTCTTCAAATATCTGAAGGGCTGGCATGTGGAAGAGTCAGTCAGTCAATAAGCTATAAGCCAGGCACTGGGGATGAGACTTATTTCCCCAGAGGTCAGAACTAGGTGTGTGATGGATGGCAGAGACATAGATTAAAGCCTGATGTATGGAAGAGGTATGGATTTCTGTCAGTTGTCCTACTCCAAGGCACACCCAATACATACAGAGCAATCATTTGGCTTTCTGTTCCTTTTTGTAACACTTAAAATCTGAAGGGGTCAAAAAAACCAGGAACACCAGTCTCTCTCCTCTTCCCCACCATCCTGATGTGTTTCCCCCTCAGTCAGGGTGCAGACATTCAATTGCCCATTTCAAGATTTGAATGCATCTCATTACAAGACAAGAAACCAGAATTCAGAGCTGGAAGGGAACCTATGGATCCAAACTCACTCACTTTACAGAATGTCAACATGATTTGCCAGGATTCAAAGCTAATACTTTTTCCACTTCTATCAGAAGAGGTTCAGAACCCCATCATCTCAGGACTACATCAGTTTCCATAATTTATTTCAGTCTTTTTACCATGACTGGGGTTGAAATGGAAGTAAAGGCAGAGGAGGGAGGGCAGAGGCAGGTGATATAAGTCAGGACAATTACTAACAAGTTAATCTCCCTCTCCCTCCCCTCCTACCAGCTCCTTCCTCCAGGCTCCCAAAGGCTCATTTCTATCATCCAGGATCTGACTAAATTTAGAGATACCTGGTCCCAATCTGACACCTGCATCACACCCGGGGTCAAGGAGAGGATCAAAGCAGCAGGACATCTAAGCAAACCAAATGCAGTATAGGTCACAGAATGAGAAAAAGTTGGCCAACCCAAGCCTCCCACAGCCACGCACCATGTCATTTTAGATAATTTGTTTGTTTGTTTTTAATTGTTGAGGCAGTAATACTTGGTTCATGGAACTGCAATATACAGAGAGGTGAAATAAATAGCTTATATATATATAATATATATATAATATAGCTGGTTTTAAAATATTCCCTTATCATTGGTGTACTAGATCATTTGAGTCACTGAATGTAATTAGCAGCATTCTCCAGAACTGAGAGCGATGCAGGGTCACGGAGCTAGGACGGAGCCGTCTGTCGTCAGAAGGTCGATGCGCTGAGAACTCCAAGGACACGCCATCCCCGCGCGCGGTGTCACCATCTTGTCTCTACGCAGCTTGCAGCAGACAATAAATAAATGACTGCAAACCAGAGATTTTTGTTTGATGGAAGGGTGGGACAAGGATGAGGAAAGGAAAAGGGCAGTCTGTGGGGTGTTTGTTTGTTTTTTGAGGAGAGGGGTTGTTTTGTTTTTTTTTTTCCAGTAACTTTGGAAAAAAAGGACTTTGGTTTCCTTTGCTTGTTGGTTCCTTTAATAAAGTTCTCTGGGGACCAGCTTAAAGTTGTCTGTTCCGAAACAGAAATGAGCACCCAGTCCACTTAAGTTAGATAAGAGTCTTTTGTTGTGGGTGGTTTCAAGTCAACAATAAATCCTTATCGCTTCCCCTAGCGTTTGGGTTCAGTTTTTTTTTTCTTTTAAACACAATGTACAAAAATAGAACTTCTTCCTTATTTTAATGTAAAAATATTTCTCTGATGCAGTTTTTGTGTGTGTGTGTGTGTGTGTGTGTGTCTGTTTGTGTGTGTGTTGGTGTGTGTGTCTGTGTGTGTGGCTTATGGTTGCACCATCCTGGTGGGGCTGGTGGGGATGGCTGCTCTAGCCAGGGTGTGTGGGCCGGATGCGCCTTGTCCGCTTGGTCACCGTCGTATACTTAAAGGGCTTCTGCAACTCCGCTTGGCCCTTGGGGTATCGCTTCATAAAGTGGACATCCTGCTGATTCTCCCGAGTCTTAGGGCCCTTCCTTGGTCGCCCCTTCTTGGTGAAGCCCACATACCAGCCTGTGTACTTGGCAGACATCAGTGCTGTGTAATTGTTTTCCAGGACCTTCTCAATGAAGACACACTCTTTGCTGGTGCCATCAGGCTGCAAAGAAGGGGAAAAAAGAAACAAAGAGAGATGAGAAAGGATTGTGTGGGGTCATAGGGGGATGGGAAACAATTTATAAGAAAAAGGTCTCATGTAGGAGGTGGTACCTAGACTGTATTTTGAAGAAAACTAGGGATTTTATGAGTCAAAAGAGGGAGGGAGAGTATTCCAGACATAGATGAACATTTGTCCAAAGAGAGACAGAATGTCATGTGTGGGCCAATTCAAGAGAATACATGAAAGGGAGTACTATGAAATAACACTAGAAAGGGGGAGGCTTAAAATCCTAGGTTCAGGAGTCTTTATTTTATCCTAAAGGCAGTAAAGGGTCATTGAAGGCTTTTTCTTTAGGGTGGGGGGTGAAATGTGGTCACATCTCCCCTACCATGACCCCTTTGCCAAAGCCAGATAAGTCTCCTCCCTGTCCTCTCAAGCTGCCAACGCATTTCCAGCTCTGTACTTTGCAGAGGCTATTTCCCTTCCCTCCCATCCCCAACTGATGTAGAAAACTCTCCCCTTTTCTTCCCTCTAAAGGCACAAACTCTACCCATTCTTCAAGGCCCAATTCAAATCTCACCCCTTCATAAAGATTTCAGCCATTACTCTAGGCCACAGTGATGTCTCCTACCTCTGAATTCCTGTAACATCTTCACTTGACTCTCATCTTCTCAGGCTCCTGTCCTGAAAAGAGACACACTCTTCTCCCTTTCATAGACTAACTCCTAGAAAAAAGCAGTCCGTACTCTCAAATTGCATCAATTTCCTCTTCTCCTACTCAATTCTCAATTCCTTCAAGTCTGGCTTCCCATCTCACTCTTAGCTGAAAGGCTCTTTCCATGGTCAGCACCAATTTATTAACTGTTCGATTCAATAGCCTTTTCTCAGTTTTCATTCTACTAGAACCTAACTGTAGCTTTTGATATTGTCTATCACTGGTTATACTTAGGTATGATCTCTGCCCTTGGTTTCCATGACACCAGTTTCTTGGTTTTCATCCTATCTGTCTGATCACTCCTCAGCCTTCTTTCATCAGCTAAATGTGGGTGTTCTCCCAAGAGAAAGCCCTAAGGGCTCTTTTTTCTTTCTTCTCTGCACTTTATCCACTGGTTAACTCATCAAGCCCAAAGGATTCAATTATCATCTCTCCTCAGATGACTCCCAAACTTGCATAGTCATAAATTCTCTCCTAAACTCTGGACCCACGTTATCAATTGCTTACTGGACACCTCCACCTGGATGTCCCTTAGGCATCCCAAACTCAATGTGTTCAAAACTCTTTATACTTCCCCTCAAATCCTTCCATCTTCCAAACTTGTCTATTTTTGTTTCTGGTACCAACGCCTTTCAAAGTCTCACATCTATGGAGTTGTCCTTAACACTTCCCGACTCCTCAGCCCCCACATCCAACCAGTTGCCAAGTCTTTTCAATAATCCCATCTCTACGACATCTCTTGTTTCTGTCCCCTCTCTCCACTCATAAGCCTCTTCCCCAATTCGGCCCTTACCACTCCTCATTGGACTACTACAATAGCCTCCTAATTGATACTCCTGACTCCAAACTCCTATCCAATTCATTCTCCACACAGATGTCAAATTAATATTCATAATTTAAAACATAGATGTGACCACGTTTCACCCCCCACCCCAAAGAAAAAACTTTCAATGACTCTCTACTGCTTCTAGGATAAAATACAGACTCCTGAACCCTGCATTTTAAGCCTCCCCCAATCTGGTTCTCCTTACCTTTCCAGTGTTATTTCATACTACTCCCTTTCATGTATTCTCTCAAACTGGCCCACACATGACATTCTATCTCTCATCTCCTTTGGACAAATGGTCATCTATGTCTGGAATACCCTCCCTCCCTCTTTTGACTCATAAGATCCTAGTTTTCTTCAAAACACAGTCCAGGTACCACCTCCTACAAAAGATAAATTGTTTACCATCCCCCTAGGTTTTAACATTCTCTTCTCCGGAAACTCCTTTGTGTTTATTTATTTATTTTTGTCAATATGCCGGATTCCCAAGTAGAATGTAGGATTCTTGAAGGTATAGTTTCTTTTTTTTTTTTTTTGTCTTTTTACTTTCAATGCCTAAAATAGTGCTTTGTACATAGTAGGCAGCTAGATGGTACAGTGAATAAAGCGTTGTGCCTAGAATCCAGAAGACCTGAGTTTGAATCTAGCCTCAGACACTTACTAGCTGGATGAGCCACATAACTTCTCTCTGCCTCAATTTCTTCATCTGCAAAATGGGGATAATAACAGCATCTACCTCTCAGAGTTGTCTTGAGGATCAAATGAGATAATATTTGTAAAGTGCTCAGCAGAGTGGCACTTAATTACTGCTTATTTGTTTCCTTCCTTCCTTTATATCTCAGACCCAATCCAGTGTGCCTTCTACCAATCATTACTTCTCATTTATTATCATATTTGAAATCAGTTTTTGAAAATAATACACATGTACGTAGTCAACTGCAAGCTCTCTGAAGGCAGCCTTTCAGTATCCTAATACTTCTTTGCATCCCACAAACCTAGTACATTCAGTGATTCACTGGACATTTGTCAGATTCCTACTATGTGCACATACATGATACAAGGATAATGAAGATGCTGTCTTGCTCTCACAGAATTTACAGTCTAGCATATTCATAACATGTGGCACATACTGGGAGATCAATGAACATCTGCTGGGTGATCTGTTCATTTTCCTATTTACTACAACTTCCTTCTGTTCTGTTCCGGTAACTACTGCCAATCCCTGAGGATCTACTGAAGCAAAGATCAAACAAGATAATATGTATAAAGTTCTCTGTAAACCTTAAAGTGCTATACATATAGAATATACATATTCCAGGCCTGGAATTCAAGGGATCTGAATTCAAATTCAGACTCAGACCCTTACAAGTTGTGTGACACTGAGTAAGTCATTTAACCTCTATTTGCCTCAGTTTCCCCATCTGTAAAATGGGGGTAATAATCACTATCTCCCCGGGTTGCCGTGAGGATCAAATGAGATAATATCTGTAAAGCACTTAGCACAATGTCTGGCACACAGTAAGCATAATATAAACATTAGTTATTGTTATTATTATCATTATTATTATTATTTGTAGTAGTAGTAGTAGTTGTACTACCACCACCATTATAGATTTCTGTCCTTGGGTACCAGCTCCAAGTGGGAATAAGACCCAGCCAAGCTCTCCTTACCTCAACCACCATGCCTTTTCCTCAATGCCCACATGCAACTGGGGTCCATATGTCTGGCCTGCTCCCTTTCCTCTAAAATCCTCCCATTCTGCTCCTTGGACAACTTCTCTAAATTCTCCCTGCTTCTCTTTCTCTGTCTCCTAGCCTTATTTCTCTCCAATTACCCCATCTCCTCAGTCCCCTCACTCTCTCATCCTTCCTACATCTTTAGGGTCTCAATTGTTTTTTAATACATTTCGCCCAAAGACTCCAAATATGCCATGTGGCCAGACCCTCTAGGTGGGGCTAGAAAGAGTAATCAAGGGGGTTCAGAGAGCAAAAGTTGCAACACCAGAGTGCAGGTCGAGATCATTTAAGGCCAACCAGGCTTTTTTCCAAGTGACTTGTATGATCACTCCCTGAGTCTGTGCTGCCTTTGGCCCCATTCTAGCTATAGGAAACAATCCATTAGATTTTAAGCTCCTTGAGGACAGGAACTGTCTTTCGCCTCTTTTTTTATCTCCAACATTTAGCACATAGTAGGTACTTAATAAAGTTTATTGAATTGAGGTGTTACATAACCTGTCTAGCAAGAAAAGAAGGGGGTCTGTAGGAAGAGCCCCAACTTTTTGTCCAATAGGCCCACCCTGACCCTACTCTCCCAGCACTTGGCAGAAACGGCCTTAAATTCCCCTTTTCCAGAAATCCTAGTCAGCCCATTAGAGGCCTCTGCACAGCCCTGACAGAGATCATTGCAAGGTCGAAAAAAGCACAAATCCCAGGCTGGAAGGACATATTAATATTGCTTGGGTTTCCAAGAGCTTCTCCAGACTTAGCCAGAACATACTCCTCGTTACGGACCAATTCTCAGCCAAGTTGGAAATCTCAAGGTCGGTCTGCTTTTTTTGTTTTTTGGGTTTTTTTTTTTCAGATTAAGTAGAGAGTTCCAACCTTTTGTTTGAAGTGGGAAACTGTAGGGGTTTTTTTTTCCCTTTCAGGTTTTCATAACTTACTGATGACTCCAAGGATTTCTCCCAAATGCTTCCAGTAACATTCACCTTTGAGTTGAGAATGAGCATGGATACTTCAGAGTGCTGAACTTTTCAAAAATTTATAAACAAATACAAAATGCTCTTCCAAGATAAAGTGTTTCATGGAAATTACTGAGAGTTCAGGGAGCATGTGGTAGGGGGTGTTTATATGCATGTGTGTCCCTGTGTGTGTGTGTGTGTGTTTGCATTCAGTAGGAGGAAAGAGGAGGCTCATCAGAGACTGGGAAAGAAGCTGGATGTTGTAGAGGGGGTGTGTTCACAGAAAACTTGGGAGGTAAATAATAATGACCTACATTCAAAGATACTCAGATTCTTGCGGATGCATTAAATATTACAAGCAAGAATATGGATATTAAGATCCCAAGGGACACCGTATCTGACCTAAGGCCAAACAGTTTGGTCACTCAGGAAAATGTCAATGGTGGTAAGGAACCTAAGGAAGGACCAGGAGAAGAAGGTTCAAAATTAATAAACAAAAAAACTCTCAACTGATTCCTGTTTCCATTAACCATACAAAAGAAAAAGGGAGAGACCTACTCTGGAGCAGAAAATTCTGGAGCCTTCTCATTAGCCCTTTTGCCTTCCATCACTTAACTGAATTCCTATTCAGCCATTTAAAACTCATCTCAAAATCCCATCTCCAAAAAGCTCCCCTTGATATATTCTCATTCTCTCTCCCTCCCTCTTTCTCTCTCTTCCTCTCCATCTCCTCTCCTCCCACACACTGCCTCAAACTGATTCAATAACAACCTTCCCCAACACACCAACCCTTCTCTGAGTGGGCCTGCTGGAGCATTCTGTTTTGTTATATAGCTCTTTGTAACAGCAAGAGTGGAGAGTTTCTCCCAAGCCTGGGTGTCCCAGTCCCTGTGAGCTGGCAGTGCCTGGAACACCCCACATCACTGCCTCCCAAGGGTAGTCTGCTCCAGAACAGGGTGCTCTAGTCAAAGCTGTAACATTGCGCCCTGGTGGGTTACTGGCCCACTGGAGGTTGTGAGGCTTCAGTTAATCGATAAAAATTTATTAAGCTCCTACAAAGTGCCAGGCACTCTGCTAAGCGATGGGTAAACAAAAAGAGGCAAAAGACAGTCCCTGTCCTCAAGGAGCTTACAATCACTTCTCAGTTTATCAAGAAATGCCTATAAACCATAGAGAGCAGGATTCTCTGGCATCAAAAACAGAAGATTATAAAAGGTGTCACTTATTTCACTGCCCTCACAGGCTGCTCCCTTAAGAGGCCACCTAGAGTGCTTTCCTGAGTTCTATCTCTAGTCTGCCCTCAAGTTTCTCACCATGCTCATTTCTCCTTTACTGAGTTTTCCTTCCAGCAAAGACAGGATCCAAATCTTCTCCAATAAAATGCAGGCTTACAGGCAACCCCTAGTTTACCTCTTTTGCAAGCCCCTGTAGTGGTCTAGTGGAAAAAGAGCTGGATTCAGATGGGGCTTATGAGACCCAGGTTCAAGTTCCAGCTTAGATGCTTACTAGGTAGCTAACTCTAGGCAAGTCACTTAGGTTCTCTAAGCCTCAGTTTCCTCATTTGTAAAATAGAGTTTATTAATAATATCTGCTCTACTGACTTCAGAAGGATGGTTTGAGGAAAGCATTCAACCTTAAAGTGCAATGGAAATAAGAGCTGTAGTTATAAATCAGTCACGACGAAGCCTCATTTGTTCTGTCACTGGCATGAATGACGCAGAGAGTCAAGCCCAGGTTAACTGACCTGTGTGCCCCTCAGATCTGTCTCTCTCTTTTTACTGCTTCAGCCACCACCCTAGTACAGAACATGGTGACCGCTCAACGAGACCACTGCCAGTGGCCAGCTCCTCCCTCACAGCCAGAGAATCTCTCTCAAACGATTTGCTTGTTTCCTTTCTCAAGTTCGTATATTTGAAACTACACGAATCAAAGCTAAACTCCATCTAGAAGCTGCTCCTTCCCCAAACTTTAGACTGAAAACTTTAAAACAATTATGGACTTCCCAGAACATCTAGTCAAGATGCTCTCATTTTCTCCAATCTCAGTTCTTGTTACCCCCAATACACTTCCCTTCCTCCAGTCAGGTCAAAATCTATCCTTCCCTTCCCACCCAACCCGCATCTTGTTCTCTCCCACCTCCATCCCTCATTCCCCAGTCTTGTCCTGCCCTCTCTACCTCTATTCAGGCCATTCATCCTCCAGGCCTAAAACACACTTCTTTCCTCACCTTGATAGTTTAGAAAACCTCTCTTCCTTCAAGTTAAGGCATTGGATTTGAACCCAGGTCTTACATTCCACAACAAAGGATAAGGCATGTATCTAAATAAGCATGATGCAAATTGAACTACTTACTTTTCTATGGCTTGGTAAAGGTATTTTGGGGTTTTTTCCTCCCTTCCCTGGGTCTCAGTCACCTCATCTATAAAATCAGGGAGGTTGGACTAGGTAATCTCCTAAAGTTCTTTCTAGCCCTAAACCCCATAATCCTTTGGGATCTTTCCTTTGTCTTTATCTCATTCTACCTGGCTTCAAACTTATTGGGGTTCACATCACACACTCCAGACTACATTATCCTTGAAGACAGGAGCTAGGTCTTTAGGAGGCAGCAGGAGAGGTACAGGGTGGAGGGAGGATCCTTCACAGAGCAAGAACAAGACAGGTGAATTTTTGGAGGATGACTCATTGGCTAGGAGTCAGCACCATGCTACTGAAGACTGTGCCAGGAGCTGGAAGAGGTGACCCAGGAGGGGAAAGTTAGGGGAAGAGATTAATGAAGAGAAGGAAGAAAGCTAAAATGGAACAGGACCCAGTCTGGGAAGAGGGGAAGAGTTCAGGAGAGAGAGGTAGCTCTGAGGGTGGAGGATGAGGGGTGGGAAGGGAACAGTGATCGAAGGTCAGTGCCAGTTGTACAGTCACCAATACTAATGAACAGGAGAGAGGGTGAGAATGCAGGAAACAGAAGACGGGCTCCCGTGGAAGGGGTGAGTCACCAAGGCAGGCGGGACTCGGGCTGCTCTTTTGACCTCAGGGATGGCTAGCCTTTGCTGGAAGGGAACTGTACAGGGCTTAGAGAGCAGCTCCTGCCTGGCCAGGTCCCATAACCGTCCCTGGTGGGTCTAACTTTTTGTAGGTGATCATGAGAAACAAACAAAAAATTTTTATTATAATAAAATAAAAAGCACTAAACTCAAAGCAGGTTTGTGCCTGGGAAACATCCCAAGATGCTGAGTGGGAAGGAGAACAAAGCAGGCGTAAGGGATTATGCAGGGCAAGGCAACAGGAAACAACTGGAGAAGAGACATGGTCCCCACCCCCAGCATCCCTCGGGAGTCCCTACAGTGGCTGTGGAACCAACTGGGGCTGGGTCCCCAGGAAACTCAGGCCACCATGATCTATTATACCCCTTAGTTCAGAGAAGTACCTCCTCCTCTGACCACCCCCCAATGCCCAGCCACAAAAACAGTGGAAACTGGATCACTAATTAAAAACACACTCTTTAGCATCAAGAAGACTTACTATGATTTTTTTTTTTGCTCTTAAGAAGCTAATGTGGGCAATGTGTCTGGAATCTTTTCTTTCCAAATACAGTATTGTACAAAGCTAGTGAGGATCCTTCCCTCCTCCCCCTGGCTCTAGCCTCCTGCCTGCTGCACATTTGTCATCCACCTACATCTACTCTATCAGGAATGTGAGGAGACCCCTGGGGTTGGGGGGGGGTTAGTCTATAGACTAACTTTCCCCTTGAGGTGTTAGGACCCAGTGCTGGACTACAGCATCACCACCTAACCATTCAAAGGCTCTCACTGCCCTTGGAGATGTGTGGCTGGAGACCCAGACAAGTGCTTCAGATCTCTCCCCACCCCCCCCCCAAAAAAAACTACTGGAGGCCTCTTGAGAACTGGGAGCAGGGGTAAGCTTTCAGAATTCATCTAACCTAAACCTCTTCATTTCTGAGGCCCAAGGAAGTACAATGATTTGCCTGGGGTCGCAAAGGTCGTGTGTGCTATACCAGCTATACGGGCTTAGCACCTGATTCTCTCATCTTCAGATCCAGTGCTCACTCTTTCCCAATCTGAGTTCTAGAAGTTTGCCTTTCAGAATCCAGCTCCAGGACTCCTGTTCCTAAACCTGGAGGTGCCAGGATGGGGAAAAAAGGGTCCGAAGTGGGGGATGTCTAACAGTGGGGCAAGCACAGCATGTGCCCAGGGAAGGGTGATTTCACTCCATACATGACCAACAGCACTAAGAGGATGCCAGAGAAACCAGATTGTTAACAAAATAAATAATATTTTTCAAAAATATTCCCTTTTTCGGGCAGCTAGGGGGCACAATGGACAGAGTACCGGTCCTAGAGTCAGGAGGACCTGAGTTCAAATCCAGCCTCAGACACATAACACTTACTACCTGTATAACCCTGGGCAAGTCACTTAACCCCCATTGCCCAAAACAAACCCAAAAAATATCCCCTTTTCCTCCCCAAAAAACACAATGGAATATTTTTTGGGGGTTGGAGGCTGGGACTTTGTCTGTCCTCCAATTGTGGCCCGAGTTTCCTGGGGACCCAGCCCCAGTTGGTCCCACAGTTACTGTAGGGACACCTGAGGGATGCTGGGGGTGGGGACTGTGTCTCTCCTCCAATTGTTTCTTGTTACCTTGTGGGGATGGACACAAAAGCCCACCACCATCAGCAAAGCCCCAGTGAGCTAGCCAAGCAAACCTCCTCACTCGTAACTTTGCACAAAATAATTTCTTTCATTCTACTAGCGTGTAGGGATCCTACCATCAATCGATAATAAAATCTCCCCATAATGCTAGAACCATGAGGCCCTAGTGCTGATGGAGACATTTGGATTGCATTGTTCTGCCGTCCCACCATGGTTATTAAAACAAGCTGCCGAAGCTCCCTTCTACATTCTGAGCAAAGAAGATGCCACTAGTCCTAGTCCTGGGTGGAAACTCCCTTACTTTGGAGGAGGATAACTCATTGGTCAACTAGGCGATGTCATAAATAGAGCTCTGGACTTGAAGTCAGGGAAGAGCCGAGTTCAAATGCATCCTCAGACACTTACTGGCTAGTAACCTTGGGGAAGTCACCTCTCTCATCCCCAGCTTACTCATCTGTAAAATGGGATAATAACAGGATTTACCTTCCAAGGTAGTTCGGAGATTCAAATGAAATAATATGCATAAAATACTTTGCAAACCTTAAAGTCTTATATAAATACAAGTTATTTATCATCATCATCATCATCATCGTTGTCAGCAGCAGCAGCAGCCTGGTCATCTGCAGAACACAGCCTTCTAACAAACCAGTCGTAAGCAGTAATAAACTCCTAGGTGCTTAGCCAAGGCGTCTAGCTTTACAGTTTGGGGAAGTGTGGGACGGGGGACCTGGGGAGTTGGGGGGGAACAACACAGATGATAAAGATAAGGGCAGTGAGAATTCCACATTCCCCGGGTCCTGCTTTTCATTTAGGGCTGACAGGCAGGGTCCTGGACACATCATTACAGTTCTGCAGTCATCGCTCCAAGGTAACGCTCAAGTTACAAATGAATTAATAGGAAACACTTACCTTCCCCACGAGTTTGCCTTTCCTATTCATGCAAAGGTAGAAGTCTGTCTCCTTGCCTTTGATCCGGACTTGACTGCCAAATGTGTCTGTTTCCACTAGAAGCTGAGCTTAGAAAGGGAGGAAAAAAAGGCATTTTTTACCAGGCTGTAGGAACACAGAGGGGAGAGATCCTGACCAGGCGGTTCTTGCTCCCCACCCTGTCCCTGTCCCTCCTTCCTTCCCCCACTCCCCTTTCCAGGATTCCTCAGTGGGAAAGGGATGGGAGAGGAAGGGTATGATCTGGAATCTCAGGAAAAGCCTAATTCCAGTAATGCCCCCAACACCACTGCTATTGATGAATTACAGAGGGAGAGGCCCAGTCCTTGGCCTCTTTCCCATTGTCCCCACCCCTCTAGAGAATGGGGTCCAGGTCTTCTCACCCCATCCCCAATAGAGGCGACTAAAACTAATTAAAAAAGCTGGCTTTATCTGATCCTAAGAGCTGAACAGCAGCACCCAGTCCTCTATGCTTCTTCCTGACTCCAGCAATTCTCCCTGGAGGGGTGGCAGGGAGGGCAGATGTCCACATAAACCAGGGCCAAGTGGATGGACTTCAGGGACAGACACACACATGGACACACCTCACTCTCCCTAAGCACCATCATTCGGTTCCCAGAACAGCTGGAACAGGCCCTCCAGGGAGAACATCTGGAAGATGGAGCACCTGCTAATGCCCCCCTCCTTCTTCCCCTCCCAAGGCCCTAATGGCCAGGCCAGGCCCGAAGGGAAGGGGTGGGGGAAGGGAAACATAAGGACCCTGGAGGGAGGAAATGGGGTGGGGCTGTTCCGGAACAAGGAGTTACCCCACCCGAGTGGGTCCCAGAAGCTCTGTAGTTACTAACCATCTTGAGTTCCAATGAGTACACTCAAAGCTAAGACCTAATAAATGACCTGAGGGGGCAGGGGAGAGAAAGCCTACTCTTGGATTGCCTGGGACCCCAATCCAAAATGAGTAGTGAAGTGATAGGTCACAGAGATATCGACAGAATGGAGTGAGGTGGAGGGCAGGAAGGGAAGGGTATTTAGGGCTGACTACAGCAGGGCTACAGCTGAAGTAGGGACTCAGAATCCAGAGGGTGAGCGCTCTGACCCCACACTCTCCTGAAAATGTCTCTTTACCTTTCTTCCCTCCTCTGTCCCTTCACTGGTGTCCTCTGCAGTTTTCTCTAGTAGCTGTCCTTTCTCCATGCCACCCCCCACCACATCTTGTCATCTCTCTCTCCCGTTCTCCTCATTTCAGTGATAAGTAACTTGCTTTTCCTTAACACAAATCACTGCCTTGCATTCCTGAGTGCAGTATCCTTGGAGCTACAGCAAATGTACCATGTTGCCCCTAAAACACAGTGGGTATGAATAATATCCCGTCTGATTTTAATAAACACACACACACACACACACGCACATACACACACACACACCTTAGGAGATGCCAGTGCCCTGCTGTGAAAATTAAAACCATCTGGAACTTGTGATTTCCAATAATTAATCTAGCCCTACTTTGACACCACCACTAATTAAAATACGATATCCTCCTTTACACACATACACACACACATACACAGAGAATTTACATAAAATTCAAAGATCTAGTAAGAAACCAGGAATTCCAAAAACAAGTGGAACATCATTCTGCCCTCTTCCCTCTCTCCAGTATCCTGTGGGTCATGGGCATACAGGAAAACTCACAATAAAATGGGATAGAAGTTCTGAACCCTTTACCTTAACCACCTCCATTCTATTTCCTCTCTGAAGGACCCCAGTTTAGCCTTCTCTGCTTGATTCCTGAGGTTACAGAGCCAAATTTTCCAGTGTCACTGAGAACTGTCTACCCCTTTCCCCCAGTCCCAGGACATCTGAGTCAGTCCAGGTGCCAAATAGAGGGGACATGGTAAGGGGGAAGAGGTGTTACCAGCCATGACTCCTATACAGGAAGGGTCCTGTTCACTGGAAAGGCAGCCTGAAAAGAGGGCTGTTGATTAAAATCCAGGGTAAGTCAGGGAAAACCCAGCACAGACATTTTGAGGAGCCTTAGAGATCTCAGCATTTAAGTCAGAATCAGCTAACTCAGTTATTACTATTTAAAATTCCTTAATGACTACATAGTCCAACATGTTTTCCTAAAATGAAAGAGAGGTGCGTTGGGCAAGGAGACAGGTTGGAGGATTTTTGGCTGCTGTTCTTAGCCCAAACACCTAGATCATTTACCCTAAAGCCAATAAGCTATCGGTGTGTAAGGAACCCTGGACTGGGACCTGGACATTCCAGGCTTTGGTCCCGGCTTGGCCACTCACCAGCTAAGTGATGTCTTGGGGGCAGCATGGGGAGCAGGTGGGAGGGGCAACACTACATCTGGAATCAGAGGACCTGGGTTCGAATCCTGACTTTGCTACTTAGAGCCTGTGTGATCGTGGGCAATCAACAAGCATTTATTAAGCACTTACTATATGCCAGGCACTGTGCTGGTCACTTATACTCCCTGGGCCTCAGTTTCCTCCTTTGTAAAATGAGAAGGTTGTGTTAAATGATCTCCAAGACCTCCATCGGTTTTAAAATTTGGCATTCTTTTTTTAGCTGAGCATAAGGAACAACCTCCCAAGATGGAGAGCCATCCAGAAGGTGAATGGGGACTGCTCCAGAAGGGAGTAAGGTCTTCAAGCAGGGGTGCCATCTAGCCATCTACAGAGGGACTCTTCGGTTCTCTATTCCTCTGTGTACAGAGCCCATGCACCAGCAAAAGGAGATGCCAAGGAAGCCTCTAAGAAGGACAGATGGACCCCAGCGCTCCTCTCGCTGGTTTGGGGAGAAATGTCAGGGCCCACCAAAAGAAAGAGGTGGAGGAAGGAGAGTTGATCTGTGGGGCTGCAGCCTGGGGTCTGTTGAGGCAAGGGAAGGCAGGTTGGGAGGATTAGGGAATAAAGGGAGGAGACAAACAAAATATGGGATTTACAGTGAAGGAGAAGTGGGTGTGTGAACAGCTGCTGGGATTTCTTGGTTTGGGCTCTGAGAAGACATCTGGGGAAGTTTTCCTAGGTTGGTGTCCAAGGTTTACAAATCTGACCTGGCCAAGGGTTCAGAGTCCAACTAAGAAGAAGCTGAGACTTAAGAGAGCCTGACTAGGGGAGGGGGTGAAGGGGTAGTAGAGACGCCTCCATGGGGGGTGGGGTAGGTACTGTCAGAGTACCTAAGTACAGAGTACAGAAGTAGGCTTCGTACTTGGTGATGCCAGCAGGAGAGAAGAGCTCTTTCAACCCTTTGAGGTGAAAAGAGAGAAAAGAAATTCTGAGAGAGGGAAAAAAATAGCAGTAGCTCGAGCCCTTGGAAATCCCTGAAAGCCTTTCCCTGATGCCCCCAGTCAAGTGACTCGATACGGTCAAACAGAGGTAAGTAACAGAGATGAGAACCAAACCCAGATCTTTGGGTGCCAGATCTAGGAGGTGAAGGGAAGGGAATCGGCATTTATCTATAGCCCCCACTATGCAGAAACTAGCTAAGCACTTTACACATATTATCTCATTTGGTTCTCAAAACAACCCTGTGAGGTAGGTGCTATTCTTCTCTCCATTTTACAGTTGAGGAAACTGAGGCTGACAGAAGTTAAGCAATTTGCCCAGGGTCATACAGCTAGTAAGTGTCCAAGGCTGGATTTAAACTCGGATCTTCCTGACTCCTGGCAGAATGATCTATCCACTGCATCGATCTAGTACTTTTTCCTGAACCAGACTGATTCTATGTCCCTTTAGTAGACTATATGCCCCGTGAGGGTAGCAATATCTTACTTAAAATCTGTTTTCCCAGTGCGGAGCTAGCACAGAGCTCTGGTGCAGAGCAGACTCTCAATAAATGCTTGCTTAATTGGACTGAGTACCTCAGCCAATGGCCTGGAGTCATGGGGATGGGTCAGCCCGGATTAAGTTGGCTCTGTATATGTTAATTCTTCAGTACTAGGAACCCTGAAGATGATGTTCTCTCCACAGCCAGGGCAGACAAGAGGGAGTCAGCCTCCAATGTAAGCAGGAAAAATTCTGCTTTGGCCTGACTTGTCTAGATTGACTATGAAGACTTGACATCCTCCTACGTTTCCAAAACCCCATCTTCAGATCCCCCTTTAGACAAGGCTCGGCCTCCCCAGTACACACCCTGACCACAAATGTTCAGTCTCCAACCCAGGGCCTGAGCTGGACTCAGGAAGAGCTAGAAGAGGCCGCTTTGCCAAGGGAGGCCGCATCCTGTTCCCCCACCACCACATGGGATGGAATGACCTTGACTCCAACTCAGCATTCATGACATCATGGGGAGGGAGCCAGGCCAGAATTATGTAAAGTCTTTGGGGAGTAATATCAGCCAGGACTCCAAGAATCCACCCTGAACTCAGTCCCGGAGTCCTGCCTGCACGTTTCTGAGCATTCCCGAGGCGGGTCCTTGGCTAAATCTGCTCCCCTACGCCCTCACCCTCTCCTTCATTGAATCAAGATCAAGATGCCAAGTGTTGCTCAAATTCCCATCACAAAAATAGGGCACTTACAGTGACTTATTTATCACCTGGAGGATGGGTAAAGGAAACTAAGGTAGGGGTCTTAACCTTGTTTATGCCATGGGGTCCCTTTGGCTATCTGGTGAAAGCCTCTGAACACTTCTCAGAATAATGTTGTTAAATGCATAAAATACAACATGCATGGGATTACAAAGGAAACTGATAGTGTCCAAATAAAATTATCATAATATTTTAAGAAACAAGTTCACATGACCCCAGGTTAGAAACCCCTAGGCTAAAGGAAGACAGCAGAGTCAGGAGCTGAGGGAAAGCTAAGACTGCATTCCTGCTCCGAAGGGTCCAGAACAGAGAGTGTACGGGGTCTTCATCTCTCCTTTTCCCCTGCTCCAAGATCTCCATGAACCTTCCACTGCCCCTGGCTCTAAGGAAACCACCAGCCCTTCTAGGTCAGGACTGATCCTCCAAGGTGTTCTCACCCCTTGACCTTCCAGAGGGGCTCTGGAAAGCCCAAGCCAGGTATAGCCCCCCAGCTCTAGAGAGCTCACAGGATAAACATACCTGAAGAAGAAGCCTTCC